CAACCTATTCTCAGACCTACTGAATATACATACAAAATTTCATCAAAATTGGTCAAGCCGTTTCGGAGGAGTATGGTAACTAAAACTGTGACACGAGAATTTTACATATATAGATATGCATATAAATTATATATTTAAAAGAAAATAATTAATCATAAAAGCATACAATAGGCATGTTTTAACTATTAAGTTTGGACACCTAACCATCCCTCTTAGATGGTAGATCCATAGATGTTATTGAAATATAAACTTTAACACACAACTTACTTGGCCTCTCCTCTTCAGAAGCCGATTTGTCTCCTTCAGAATTTTTGTGATGTTTCTTATGACGATGTGAATGTCTTCTGTCTGTTGGAGCGTGGACACCGACAAAGACGCTGTGCGCTCTATGTCCTAATCACAAAAATCCAACAAGTCATATTACTAACGCCGGCTCAAATATATCGAAAATGTGTTTTTACTTTTCAGCACTATAAAATGTCGTTTTCTATATTTTAAGCTGTCTCCTCTATGTCTTCTGTTTAAACGTTGCCCCAAGATGGCTAGTGTTTTAATTTTCAAATAACTATCCAGTGACCGATAAACCATCACATGAATCTTTTGCGAATCCCAACTAAACTTAAATTAAAACGTGACTAAAAAGCCGAAAATGGCATAAAAAAATGGGAACACGAATACGGAATATGTTTACTGCGCACTCCGTATATTGAAAAATTATTTTCAAATGTGCACCTGTTAAACGACAAAAACTTTCAACAAAACGTCCTTCTAAAATTCAGATTTATTGTAATTTCGGGGTTTGACGCACTAATGAGCAACATTGTATATTTTTCACATAACAGAAGCAAAACTTAAAACAAAGAAGCAAAATCAAAAGAAAGTTGGGTCAGTTTTTAAAGAGGCAAAACTTGTAAATTGTTTATAGTAATTAAAACGTAGAAATATTTATAACATTCGTAATAAATGTTCATAATAGGGCAGAAAGACCTATTGGGTCGATAGCCTTTTTCTGTAGGAAATAAAGATTATTTATATATATGTTCATAATAATTAATTAAGATGTTAGTATCCGTAAATACAAAGGTTTTTTAGCGACAAGCGTACAGTTTTTGGGAGAAGAAAAAATTATATGTTCGCTCAAGCCGCAAAAAACGTTTTCGTTCATAATAATGTCGAATGCAAATTGTAATCTATTGGATTTAAAGAATCGATTAATCAAATTTTCGTTACGTCGTTGTTATATATTTGTTTAGACGATTAGTCAAAGCCAGATTTCTTAATTTTTGCTGAGAAATACTTTGCTTAAAATAATATTTTCTGGTTTTCATCGCAAGTATAGAATATAAATATAAATCTTATAAATAATTCTTACCCTCAAAATCTAGTTCACCAAAAGATTGTTTAAGCTTTTCCACTCTTGGGTCCTTTGGAGCTTCATCATCGTGCGGATCCATATTAGTTTACCTATAAAGAAAACCTTTTTAAAAAAATGTAACCCAAAAATCAACTTTGATTTCAATAAATAAATAGAAAATTTTAATTTGGAGTTGCGTTACCCTAAGATTTAAATTAAGACCATGTACATCTCAGCTTCAAATAACACTAGGTCACATTAGGATCAAAGACGATTTAAATATAACTTAGATACGAACTGAGAACCTCAGTTTTGAAGGCGTTTTGCAGGGCAAGCCCTCTTGTATAAGTGCAGAAAGTTTCAATTTTCAG